TAGGGGTGGGCAGCCCCGGGGGTCGCCCCCCTCCCCACCACCAGCCCTGTCCCATCCCCTCTCCCACCGCAGGACTACCTGGACGCCCTTATCGGCATCTGCTACGATGGGGTGGAGGGTTTGCTCTACCTGGTCCTCTTCTCCTTGCTGGTGGCCGCCTCCTTCTCCACCATCATCTGCGCCACGCCGCGTGCCTGGAAGCACTTCACCGGCAGGTGGGTCTGCCCGCAGGGCCTTCACCGGCGGGCAGGGGGCTGCGTGTGTGGCACGAGGTGGGCACGGGGCAGGGGAGAACCGCCTTTGGGAACCGTGGGGGTAAGCGCTGGTGCCTTGTACCCGCAGGGACCGGGACTACGATGACATGGACGAAGAAGCCCCCTTCAACCCGCAGGCACGTCGCATCACCACCCACAACCCGGCGCGGGGGCAGCTCCGCAGCTTCTGCAGCTACAGCAGCAGCCTGGGCAGCCAGAGCAGCCTGCACCCCCCGGCGCAGACCATCTCCAACGCCCCCGTCTCCGAGTACATGTGAGACCCCCTTCCTTGGAGAGGCTCCCCCTGGGGTCCCCCCACCTCGGGAGATGGAGCAGCACCCCACATCGGGGGCACAGGACAATGGTGGGGGTCTTGCCGTGCCCCCAACTCTGAGAGGCTCTTCCCCCTCCAGGAACCAAGCCGTGCTCTTCGGTGGAAACCCATGCTACGAGAACGTCCCCCTGATCGGCAGAGGCTCTCCTCCTCCCACGGTACGGTGGACGACCGAGGCCAAGTCCTTCTTGTGATGCCCCATGGGCCGGGGGGGGGTTAGCCGGGTGGGCAGGAGCCCCTCTGCTTCGCTGGAAAGCCGCTTGCCTGAGGCACCGACGGGGTGGGGATGGGGACGGGTGAGCTTGGCCCCCTCCTCCTGCCCTTGGAGAGGACGTGCCCTATCTGCGAGCGCATCCCTCCTGCCCGTCTCGCTAACCCAGTTCCCGGCCGGCCCGCGGAGGCTGCGGGGAGAGGTCACCCGCCACGTGCTCGGAGGAGACCGAAATAGTCTTCCCTTCAGCTGATCTTCTCTGCTTTATTTCTTATTTATTCTGACTTTGAAAGGACACTTTCCGCAGTCACCCAAGCATGTTTACATTTCCCCGCTGTTTGCTTAAGTCCACCCTGTCTGTTAATGCCTGCTTTATTTTTTTTTTTTTTTTTTTTATTTTTTGCATCAATTATTTTGGAGCTAAGTTGCCCATCAAGAGTAAGTTCAGCCGCTTCCTTCTCCCTCCTCCTCCTCCTCCTGCGGCAGCAGTTGGTTTCCCATCCTCCTTCCCCTCCTCGGTGCCTCCCTCTGTCCCCTTTCCCGTGGGGCTGGTTTGATTTTTGGGGAGAGCTTGGAAGCCTCGGGAGGGACGGGGCTGTGGCTTGTCCTCAGCACAGGCACAAGAGGGGGTTGATTTGCAGCTTCCATGTGTTGGGATGGCTGGGAGTGGTCCCCATCTCCATCCCCTTCTCGGTGCAGTTTTTCCCTTTCCCTTTCTGACAGCATTTAATCTGCTTCGATGCCTCCATCCAAAGCAGTTATGTCCCCCTGGCTCACCCCTCGCGGTGGCACCGCGGTGGGGCCGGGGATGTGGCTCCGGTACGCTGCCACGTCAGGGACACCATGCTCGCCTCTTCCGGGGAAGATTTTTGCCATCAGGTGAAAGCGTGGAGCTGCGCCAGCGCGGGAGGCTGTAATCCGATTGCGCGGACCTGGCAGCTGGCGAGCCTCTTCCCCCGGGGATGGACGAACTGGGGAGGGGGATTAATTTGAGCGCTTCTCCCCGCCCTGAATGATCTAATTTAACCAGGATTCAGATCCCTGAGGAAGGACTTTCACGGTCCAAAATAACAAACTCGGAATAATCTTCCTTAATGCCTGGCTGGGGTGCCCCTCCCTCCCGCAAAATGCTGGAGACATTTAATTCTGCAGCGTTGGCGGAGATGGAGAGGGGGGGCTGGAGATTTTGCCGTGGGCTCGCCGGTGCGGCAAGGGGACCTCATCCTGCCTGGGGACCCCCACGGGGTTCAGCCTGCAGCGGCTGCCGGCACAGGCACCCGGTGAGCCCCGGCACAGCCCGGGTAAGGTTGGTGTGTGGACAGGGAAGATCACGGGGCAAAACCCAGCTCAGCTGCCGCAGAGACCCGGCCCAAGCCTGTGTCTCAGGGCTAACCCCATCCCGCTCCACTGTCGTGCTAGCCCGGCCGGCGCTTGCGGTGCCACCGTCCCCGTGCTGGCGCAGGGAGGGGAGCTCAAGCCCATCCCGGTGTGAGTCCCTCAGGATCGGACACATCCAGGCTCAGTGACTGGGGCCGAATCTGCCGCCAGGCTGGAGTCGGGAAGGTGAAGGATGAACCTGGCCAACGTCGCGGCAGTGCAGGAAGGGGCAAAGCAGAGCTTGAGGCACTTGAAGTGTCTTTGGGGGGTCTTTTGTCTTCCAGCCCTCGAAGAGGCTGGGAACAAGGTCTGGCCCCCTTACCCACGGCAGCCTGGCAGATTAATTGGGGATTAATACAAGTGGGAAGTAATCTTCCCTCTCCGTCCTCGGGCTTTCTCTGGCGGCTCAGCGGCATGTGGCAGAGCAGGTTTGGGTTGGATGTGGCTGTCGGGGGGCTTGGTGGGGCGGGCCGTGGGTCAGGGGCACGCTGACCCCCATGTCCTCTCCCCGCAGTACTCCCCGAGCATGCGAGCCACCTACCTGTCCGTCACCGATGAGCACGTCAGGCACCACAGCACCGAGTTCCCAGCCTAACGCGCTCACCCCGAGCAGCTCGCGGGAGGAGAAAATGCCACCGGCGTTTCTGTAATGGAAACCAAAGACACCTGGAAAAGACACGGTGGGAAGCCCGGCAGCGGCTGGAAGACAAGCCCCGGTGTTGGGGAGCCCCCCGCGTGCTCTGCACACCCTCCTCTTCCCCTCGGCAGCTTCTGCTCTGTCTCAAGTCTTCCTGCCTTATGGCTGACTGTGACTCTGGGGCCGAACGCCGGCGAGCAGCAGGACAGCACCGCGGTCGAGCTCCCGGTGCACCGGGAAGACCAGAGATGCTTCATACCTCTGCGTCGGCTTCTCCTTTCCCTTCCCGTCTGCACCAGTTCGGGGATGTTTTACGCCACGGAGGGGAGCCTTCTCCAGCTCCCTCTGCCTGGAGGGCCAAACCTGGGACCACGGGCTGCCCCCCAGCACCAGCCCCTCGGGGAGGGGTCCGGGCAGCGGCTCCTTCACTCCCATAGCAATGCAGTACCAACCACTAGTGATCCCAGCCCCTTCCCTGCACCCCCTGGCGGCTTTGCTACCCCCCAACTGCTCCCCTCTGCCACGTTCCTGCTCCGCACGGGCAGAGCCAGCTCCCTGTGCCCCCCTCACCCCCCCCCAAGCCGGAGCCGCCCTGGCCTCAGGTTTGGAGGCTGCAGAATTAGGGATGTTTTGGCCTTGCTGCTTTTCCTTTGCTTTTCTTCTGGGTTCTTCTGAGCTCTGTGCAGGGCAGAGGCACGGTTCGACCCGCTGCCTCTGTCCCAGCGTGGTTTTACTGCAATGCATGTCGGTAGCAGGTTTTTGGCTGTTTTGTAGGCTTTTTTTGGTGATGCGGTTCCCCAGGGCAGGCAGGCCAGCAGCGTGGGCTGGGGGCAGGCTCCCCTCCTTCTGCAGGACACCCCTGGTGTAACCACAAATCCCCTGGGAGAGGGTTAGGGACTACTCTGGCATCCCTGGGGCAGGATGTGGTCCCGGGGAGGGCATGGTCTTGCCGCCATGCCTGGCATTGCCAGGGCTTCGGGCTAAGCAGCTCTGGGGGCCGAGGCACCAGGGGGAACTGGCATGAGCTGAACCAGATCCTTCATGGCTGCCCGTTCAGGCATGGGCTAACTCAGGAGGAATTGAGCAAAGGCCCCTTCCCCACAGCAGCCCCTCACTCACCATGGGCAGGGAGAACCCCTGCTCCATCCCACCAACTGGGGATGGACCCGAATCTCCCAGTCCAAAGGGTGCAGCCAGGGTGATGGGTGTTTTCCTGCCCGGTCACCCTTCTGGTCCCTCTCCCCCCACCCAGTGCAAGTTCAGCTCTCGTAGCCACGTTCAGCAGCACGGCGGGGGCTTAGCCGGGGCTGGGTTTGCTCCAGGGCTCTTCCTCGCTGTGAAGGCTGTACCTTGCCAGGGGTGGGCAAAGGCTTTCCCTGTCTGATGATTGCAATTAGCAGCCACCTCCTGTGTTGCTGGTGGTGGTTATCCATCCCTTCCTCCCTGCTTTGGCTAACAGTGCTGCAGCCGGGCAGCCCCCCGGCGTGGCCAGGCTGTCCCCCTCGGGCCAGCTGGGGGTTTTTACTTGATAGCAGTGACTCACTGTGTCTTTTAAAGATAACTTGTACATACCCTTCGGTCCCCTAACGCCGTCTGTCCGTGTTGCGTGTGACTAGCATTACTTGCTGTTGGAAACTTCCAGGGGACTGTTTGGTTGGGGTTTTTTTTGGCTTTTAATGTTTTGCTGTAACGGTACTGGTAGAAGAGCTGTTTTTAAACGCATGTGAACTAACCTCATTAGGACTCCATCTAGGAGCTGGAGTCCGGCCTGATTTGTATGTGCCCTTTGGGGAACTGACAATAAACACTTGTACTAAACTTACCTTTTCCTTGTGGGTTTCCCCAGGCCTTCCCTGCTGCCCCTGCTCAGGCTGCTCTGCCAGGCTGGGACCCTCCATGGCCGGTGCAAACGCCTTGCTGCGGGCACTGGTCCCAGCATTTCTTTGCAATCAAAAGCGTTTTTTTTAATTAGGCTTAAATCCCGTGGCTATGATTCATAGAATCATAGAATTGTATAGGTTGGAAGGGACCTTTAGGATCATCAAGTCCAACCATCAACGTAACACTGCCAAACCCACCGCTAACCCATATGCCTCAGCACCACATCTGCCCATCTTCTAAATCCCTCCAGGGATGGCGACTCCACCGCTTCCCTGGGCAACCTGTGCCAGTGCTTGACAACCCTTTCTGTGAAGAACTTTTTCCTAACATACATCTTAAACCTCCCCTGGTCCAACTTGAGGCTGTTTCCTCTTGTCCAGGTAGGACTGGTTTTGGCTGTGGCGGTGGCAGGGGGGTGGCTGGACGCATTTGGGGTGGGGAGCCGGGGGCACACGGGCTTTGGGGGTGCGTCGTGCATGGACACGTGTCCTCGGG